AGGACCTCTTTACTTAATTCTCTGCTGTTAGGTTACTAGTGCTAATCACCCCAGCCAATGGCTTTTAATTCTCAAAATAAGTAAGAAACTTGTTTTTAGATTTTTTCCTTTTTCTTTTTAGAAACCAGCAGCGTCAGCATTCAGCATAGTTAGTTTAATGGCCAGAGACTATCAGTCTTCTGTATTCTGCTGCACTTCCAGGTTGGGCAGTCTCCCCAAAGCCAACAACAAAATGAAGGGGAGCAATAAACACCTTTCAGTAATAAATCTGAATATCAATAGTCTCAGTTTGCTCATAAAAAATCTCAAACCAGTAGAGTGACTACAAAACAGAATCCTGTCTGCCAGTGCAAACGTCACATGCTCTGCCCTCTCTCTGGATTCTTTCTCTCACAGTGCCCTAACCCGATAAGTTCCCTGCTATCTTGCCCATGCAAAGTCCACACTTCTAGCATAGCTCTTGTACCACCCCAGCACACCATCCCCACATTTCCAGAGCAATAAGACAAGAGAAGTCAAACTAAGTTTTATTTTTAATCAGTTTAAAAAATTATATTAAACCCATGGATCTTGTATAATAAAGCAAAATAAAAGACAGAATTGGAAAACTCCAGAAAATATGTCTTAAAACTTTGTTTATAAAAGCTTTACTTTTTACCCAAATAGACTTGTTCAAATTGGTAAGTGTGGAGAGCATCCTCAGCATCAAATAAACATCATAATACCAAAATTGTGATCACTTGGTGGCACCTTCCAATAAAAACAATCAGTGTTTCTTGGAGAAACAGCTGACTTCAAGAGTGTAGAAGTTAACATAGAAACTGATAGATTTTTGTACCAGGCAGCAATAAGGGCCTTGTGACTCTCAACCTTCCTAATGTTGTGACCCTTTAATACAGTTCTCATGTTGTGATGACCCCGGCCATAAAATAATTTTTCTTGCTACTTCATAACTAATTTTGTTACTGTTATGAATCATAATGTAAATACTTTTGGAGATAGAGGCTCTTCAAAGGGGACATGACTCACAAGGTGAGAACTGCTGAATTAGGCTGTCAAAGATTTATAAAATTGTATAAAAAGCAATTGGGAGATTTGCACTGTCTAGTTAGAGAATTTCAACACCTGATTCTAATAAAACAATTCTCACATCAACAACAATAACATCAGGAGGTCTAAGCTCATTAACTTTAAAACTTTCTGTTCATGATGACAGAAAAAAATAAAAGTGGACACATTAGGAAAATGCTAGGAGACATTTGAATCTGCTCCTTTAATTAAAGTCTTGAAAGTAAAGAAGGAGGCAAAGGCTATTCTGCCTTTCCTATAAAAAGAATATAACTAGAAAAAATGCTAGAGAAACTTCCTCTAACACAGTATTATAGTAAGTGCATAAAAAGAATGGTAGCACTGGCATATCACCACTCTAAAAATGCTAATGAGTAAAGGAATTGAGCTTGCAGTAACAACACCACACTCAGCCCAATGGACGAACTCTTTTCAGCCTCAGGAAACGTACCTATTTTTCCATTGCTGAATATCCATCTCTTCATGTGCAGAAGTTTCTCATTAACTGTATGTTAGATGGATGAATATTGAACCCCAGGAGTCCAAGAAATGTATTCCTTGGTATTTTGTACTGCTTTATTAGCATACCTAAAAGGTCTTTTTTGACTGGATGTGTTTCCCCTCAGAACCCAAAATGTATCAGGCAAGTGGTGTTAGGAAGGATGGAGAGCAGGTAGAGGGATGGCAGAAGGAAGCATACCTGTGATTGAAATCAACAGGAGCACAGCCACAGAGGCAGCATCCCACTAGAAGCCCCTGCCATGGGCTAAACAGCTTTGTTGAGTCCTCTCTGTGTGCACACAATTTTTGTGCAATATTTCAATTATATAAATATTGTCATTTTCATCTGGCAGCTGAGGAAACAGGCCCAGAAAAGAAAATAAGAGTGTCTAACGTCATGCATCCTGTTTGTTCAGTGCCATGATGAGACCTTCACTTTTGTATAGGAGACTTCAAATCTTTTTAATAGTATGCCATGGCAAGCTTTCTCTAGACTTCCAATTCCTTAAATGCGACCAGAAGTTAACACAGTTATTCAAGGTTCCCCTTTTGCAGGTAAAACTCAGAGCCATTATGACACAGATAACAGTATATTCTAATGATACCCAGTGATGAATGTGGAAATGCTTTGCAAATGATATATTCCTTAACTGATGGTGTAATTACAAGGTTGAAGGGTATATATTTCATTTTAACGGACAGTCTTCTAATCAGATTCAAAATTGTGGAAAAACTATTATCTTCCAAATATAAGGTCTATAAAGTCAGGCCACCCAAAGGGAAGGCTTCTTTTAAAGGAACTTTTTTTGTTAAGGGCTTGTTTCTGCTTGTGTGAACACTGAAACAATTGTCTTGATGTGTTTATGGGCTGTGTTGTGGTCACAGACAAGGAAACATTTAAGCACAGAAGAAAGCAAAGCAAAACAGAACATGCATACAATCAAATTAGGACCTAATCCTAGTCCCATGAGATTAAGTATACTTTTCATATGTTTCCATCTCTACATCTGGAATAGACCATTGAGAATTATTGTCTGTCTAGATAACAGTCTGTGGTCCTTGAAATCTAGTTTCTTTGTTGTGTGGCAGGTCCAGTTTGACAGGTTTTATTGCGTGATGCGATTGAGTAGACACTCTAAAGGATGTGGCAATCCAGGTCTTCCCTAGAGAGGAGGAACCTGGGTTTATTCACAGGGTTTTCCCCAGGTGCTGTAGACCACAGTCTTATTTCATTTGATTTCTTCTCAGTGTACTGAGGCAGCACTGAGCCTTAAAGACTTAAATCCCTGTCTATCTTTTGTTAGGGAGACCTCTCCCTGTCAGCTTCTCTTTGGGAAGCAGGGACTGAGTGCCAGGGAGGGAGTGCCTTCTAGAGTTACAGGAAGCAAAGTTGGAGGAGGAGACACCTGATAGAGAAAAGATAGGGACTGGAGGACAAGACTAAAGAAGAAAACCAGCAGACAATACTGGGAGAAGAGGCTACAATCTACCCTGCTGAGATGGGACATCACAAAGTTCTCAGGTATTTCTGAATGTGAGTGTTCTCCAAATATCCTTTACTTAAGAGGATAGACACCATCAGTGATAATATAAATATGGTGAAGGAAGTTCTCTTTATCTGTCTTGTTTAAGTTGTCCTCCAAACAGAAAAGTTCTCCATTCTCTAGATGAATTAAAAATTAGCACTCTTTTATCTTATTTCATAGGCTGTTGGTTTTGGATTTGCCTCAACACAACTTCTTCCTTGTCTTTCAAGCCTTGAAATGCTCCCTAGCTCTTATTTTATGTATAGAGCAATTTTATGTATGCACAGGAATGTAAGCCAGGCTTCAGCCTGTTCTGTCAGCTCAGTGTTGGCAGTTGGAGAGTAGCAAAAAAGGCCACCAGTTCAGTGCCCTGCAAGATCGGGCCTGTTTCCATCATTCAGAGTTTAAGTGTGAGATTTGACATGGTCAAGGTATGACTTGTGACATTAATTCTTACAGTTAGGGAAGCAGAAAAATTGCATGACCAGGATCCACATTTCCTGTTAAGCAGGACTGACAATGTTTTCCAGTAGTTTTCAGGGGCAGATCCTTTCCTGGGAGATCAGTTGGCAGGATTCCTACCATGGGCAAGTTGGTCCCCATCCTTGATTTGGCTAATGAACAAAGAGGTTCAATTTCCCTCACATATATATGAGTTGCCTGAACCACTGTGATGGGCTTATTTTGGGGTGGAGATGTTGGCTAGAAGAAAGTTTTCTGAATGAATGGAATTTTGTGTGTTACTTGATTGTGTATGTTTATGTGTGCTTATTGTTCTAGAAGCCTTCATGTGCTCAGTTCTTAAGCTGTAATGTTAATTTTTTTTTCATCTGTAGGCATGAAGTCTAGTATTCAAACAGCGCAGAGTAATGACTATGCTATTTTTTTTCAACATTTGCTGCACTGTTCTCAACTGGGGAAAGTTGATGACTGGGTTCACAAGCAAGGGAGTAGACATTTCATACTAAGTGTGAGTAAGCCAATCATTCCTACCTACAAAAGTAGACAAGACTCTTGGATCTGGGGAGCATCAAAATAATCCTATACTTTACAGCTTAGTTCCTGCTGAGAATATCCACCAACAGAAACAAAGGCAGAAATTGAGATTTCCAGTAGAGGCCTTAGAATCTGATAAGTCTGGCTAAGAGGGGCTGTCTCTGTCCATACCCACTGGAAATTATGAGTATATGAATTAATGCTCTCACAGGTCACATTGAGGTTTCGTGAAGTGTCTAAAATGTCCTCACACATTATTTAGACCACAGAATGTGAACAGTGAATGGAAATAGCTGGTTGTTATCTTCATGTTAGAGCAGAGATTGATTGATCATTCCTCAGTGATTTAGAATATGGAACTGAACTCTATGGCTTTCCATACTTCTGATTGTCCAGGGGTGCCAGTGATGGATCCTATACCCATCCATATTTATCATTTAGTGTTTCTGAGTATTCTTCTCTGAAAAACAAAAAAAAAGTAGTCTTACAGGAATTTTTGTCTTATAGAGATTTTTTAAGGGCCAAATATAAACTGTAGCATGAGAAATAAAATGTATACAGGGTTGTTACTACTACCACTACTGAAGGAATTTCGACAGCTTCATATGTCCACTGTGAAAGGCTCAGTATCAGCTACATCCACTTCCAGGAACTGATGTCTCCTGAGCCTGCCGAAAGTGGCTGTGGCAAGGGCCTGCTAGATACAGACAATAAGACCCTCCCATCTATGGAACAATTGACATCTCCAGTTGGACCTGAGAAGCCTGAGGCAGGTGCTGGCCCTCGGAAGGGACCTAGGGAGTAGGGAAACAAAAAGGTCTCTCATGTAGCTAGCATAGTCATTTTAACTGTCAGTGATTTCCAGGACCAGTGGCCTCCAGGACTGCCGATCAGACTTCATGTTGGTGTCCTGGGACCACTCGAAGATGCTGCCCAGGTTTCTTGCCTTCTCTGCTCTGACCCTCCTGGCCTGTGGTAAGTTTTCTTTCTTCTCATCAGAAGTGCTTTTGTTGAGTTACACACAACTGTTCTTGTGTGGCAGAAATGTTCCCTGTATTGTCTTTGCTAGAGCATATGTAGCTTTGCTACTTGTTGCATTGCTCTGGAATTGACAAATTTCCAGTACCACCAGCTGTTGTGATTTTCCATCTTCTATAAGTTAATATATGATTCTTATTTGAGTTTGTGAAATGAATAAATAAATAAATAAATAAATAATAAATAATCGTCAAACACTTCTTAGAATTGATATTGATGATTCAATTAGATATTGTATTGATTGCTTTTCTGTCACAAAATATTTGAGAAAGGGTTTATTTTGGCTTACAGCTCCATGATGTATGTTTGTACGTAAGTATGCATGTATGTACGTATACAAAAATGATTGGAAACTACGGTGGCAGGAACTTAATGCATTTGGTCACTTTGTTTCCACATCTGTAATGCAAAGAGTAGTGAATGCTGCTGCTCAACTTCCTCTTATTCAGTCTGGTCCCCCAGCTAATGGAATGTGCAGCCTAAATTAAGGACAGATCTTCCCAGTTTAACTAGCCCAATCTGAATAACCCCTTACAGACACGCTTAGAGCTTTGTCTCTTCAATGATTCTACATCTAATCAGTTTGACTAGAAAGGTTTAACAGTGTTCAAATAATGAATATGAGGTCTTTTATAGCTCTAATTGTCTCACCATCTTGTCTTTGTCGTCATTACCACCACCACCACCATCATCATCATTATCACCATCATCGTAGTTAAACCGAGCACAGAGTAAACATTCATAAATAAGTAATAATTGTCAGTCAAGGACTGCCTCTACAATATATCGATGTGTTTTATTCCTTTATAAAGTAATTAGACATGAAGTAAATATAAGTGAATTCTGTTGAATTAAATGGACCTGAGTTTGGTAATTCTTATGCTGAGCACATTTTCACATCATCTGCCATAATGTAGCTATTTCTTGGCCTTCTACTTATAAGTAGACTTGCTACTAGGTTACATGAAATTAGTGCTGGAGAAATTCACAGATCAAAGAGTACATAGATAATCTTCTCATTTTGTGGATAAGGATACAAAGGCCTGATGGGAAAGTGACTTGCCCATGTGTGGCAATGATTTGAAATGAGGCCTCAGTCAGTTGCTTAGTTCTGCTTTGGTATCTGACTACTTACTGGATGGTGGCTAGTCTTTATTTCCCAGAGTCCTGTGGTCTTTATTGTTACAGTATTCTGCCCTAGTGTGGCCTTAATTATATCCACTTTTGTTCAACTCATCCTCTAGGAGCATTGAAGCCTTCCTTCACCCCTAATTAGAGCAACACTGCTTTCCCTGGGTTACCTGCATAATAACCAACAGAACCATAGGTACACATTATAGTAACACAATTAAGATGGTTGCCATTATCTTAACCAAACTTATCAGATTTATGACGCACATTCTGGTTCTTGAGACAGAAATATATGAATCACTGTGACTGTCCACATAACTCCATAGTTTAGATAATTTAAATATAAAGATCATTTTCTCTAGGCTCATTCTGGAGTCCTTTCATTCCATGTTTCTTATGTCCCTTTCCTAAAGATACAAAGAGGTTCACAATTTCAGCAGTTGCTCCTACAAACCAGGCAATTTAACAGAGAGGAGAAGAGATCTGGATGATTTCTGGGTGGACTGTATAGAAATGAGAATGGGAGGTTGTGGAGGAGAGGCACCTACCAGAGATTACAAGTACCATAGTTGGGGAGCTAGTGTCTTGAGTAAGATCTGTTACATGCTCATCTGTGGTCTCTCTTACAGGTAGTCCTACCATAATTTCCCGAAAAGAATGGGGAGCAAGTTCACTCACCTGCAGAGTCCCACTGAGCCGGCCTGTGCCCTACCTCATCGTAGAGCAGGTTACCAGGATGCAATGTCATGATCAGATCACCTGCAGCCAGATAGTGAGGGTTCTTCAGTCCCATTATGTCCACAATAAAGGCTGGTGTGATGTGGCCTTCAAGTAAGAGGCTCTCCAAAGCACATGCTCAATATTACTTTTTGAAGCATTCTCCTTGTTTTCCTTATTCTGCATCTTCTATTTTCAGGGCTTTATTTGTACTGTGTTTATGACTGAAGAGTGTTAGAAAAAAATAATTTTTAAAAAATCCAGAAGTCATTAGGAGAAACAACTCTAAACCATGTATTCAAGTGTGGTTTTATTCTGGAAGATCATGAAAGGAAACACAGAAAGTTTTGTACCAAGTGCTACCAGCCCTGGAAGCCCCCAGCATTACAGATCACAAGGGTTTTTATAGCTATTATCCAACTGGGAGCAATATGGAAGAGAAGGGTTACTATTTTCATTAACTAAATGAAAATGCCACAGTCTATGGAAATCAAAAGAAATGTGTTTAAAGTGGCATATGGCAAGGGACATGGATTCAAAATTGTGTCAAAACTATGTGTTGATACATCCCACTCTTATTTGCTTCTAGTCAGGGCTCATATCTATGAAGCATTTCCCATTTACTACCCTGAATGACCACTGGGTATGACACGGGGATGAGTAGACATGGGGAATGGTGGGGAAGAAACCCTGTGTTAAACGAGTGTGAAGCATAAAAGATTTTTGCACTGTGCAATGAGTATTTACTTTAAGGGTTCTATTGAAGGTCCCAAGTTTTTCCTCATTAGCCTCAAGAATGAGAACGTTCACTGTTATATAAAGAAAGAAGAGTAGAAGTGGGGGATTTTAGATGCATATAGAAATAACTTCTGAAGTTTCCATTTTGGAAAGGGTAGTCTGTGCTTTCATATATTTTTAGTTTCAAATGTCAATAAGAGCAACTGGAGACTCGCTGCACCACCCAAATCTGTATGTTGCCAGGGACCCCAGGACAGACCTCGATAGAAGTTGTGTTGACTTTCTTAACTACAGTTTATCTGCCAGTCCCTATCCCCCATCACTCTGTGATTATTGTTGATCTGTTGCTTCCTTCAATCATCTTCATTTCAATTGCTCTGCGTCTAAAAATCAAGTTTCTGCAGGGTCAATGCAAACCTCCTTGTAATAGTATAGTTATTGCAACAGTAATGGAGTGTTCACATTGAGCTAATCAAGGTCTCTGAAGACATGGCAGAAGAACTGCTGGAAACATCAAAAAGGAGAACAGTGGTGGGCATGCTTCCAAAGCCATCTGGTTCTCAGAGTCAGGTGAAAGCCTCCATTGGAGCAGGGGAATTGCTTAACCTTGAAAATTGTTCTTTCTTTGTCCAGTTTTCTCTGAAATTCATGATCTGGTAGAAAGTTGGATTTATCATGAAACATCATTTTGAAGATGAATTGAAAACTAAAGAACAGCAGAATGGACAAAAATTTTAAAAAATGGCAGAATACAAAACTATAGACATGATTTTAAATCAAACAAAAATGAAACAAAAAACAAAACTTCTGTGATTAAGAACCTATGTGAATCTGTGAGGAGTCAGTGTAAAGAAACTTTTGAGTTGACGTTAGTTGTTTTAGAGAATACTCAAGTGGTTGGCCATATAGTTAAAAACAGAAACAGAAAATATGATGTATTCAGCTAGGTGTAGGAGTGAATGACTGTAGTCACAGTTCTTATGATTCTGAAGCAGGAGGATTGCTATGACTTCAAGGTCAGCTTAGACTGTACAGTAAGTTCCAGGCAAGCCTGGTTAAAAGGGAGAGAGCATGCTTCAAAGCCTGCCAAATAGTAACAACATAATGAATTAACTAGCAGGCACTTGAAAAGATAAAGTTCATTGTCCTCAGGCATTGAAGAGTCACACATTCAAATTCTACTTTAAATAAAATGAGTATTTTTTTTAACTGAGAGACACAAGTAATCTAAGGGGATTACATGTGGAAAACATATGTAATTTAAGTCAAAACCAAAATTGTAAGAAATATTTTTATTTCTTTACAAGGTCTAAAATTATCTGTTACCCATTGTTATGCTATTGAAACTTCATTCTTTTATGAGCATCTGGGACCACTTTGGGAAATGAATTTTCTTAATACAGAAGTTTACCATTAAATCTTTATTTTTCATTGGCAGCTTTCTGGTTGGGGATGATGGCAAGGTGTATGAAGGTGTCGGTTGGCATGTCCAAGGCTTGCACACTCAAGGCTACAATAATGTTTCCCTGGGCATTGCTTTCTTTGGCAGTAAGACAGGTAATGGTAATTTCCTCCAGATCAAGAAAGTGGCCTACCTACTTCCTCAACCTTCTTTTCTCAATGCTCATATCTTTTTAGCTCACATTATATTTGCCATCCCTGATAACCACTGATTCTGAAAATCCTTTCTGCTGTTGCACTCTGTGGCCTGCAGTTTTTTTCTAATCTGTGGTCAATATTTGTTGATATGTTGCTGCAGCTGCCTCTTACATGGAGTTCATAGTTATGGCTAATGGAATCTGAAGTCACCTGCTGTTAACACTTTAGTTGCTAGAAGCAGCTAGCATGGATTATTTCTTCTTTTAGTATCTTTTATTGGTAGAGACAAACAGAAGCTAGTAGCCAAAGCAAGGAAGTTGAAGTAGTTTATATGACCCTCCACTCCCAACCAGAGTAAAACAGAACACAGGGATGTTACTGAAGGCTAATAGGTCAATAAGAGGAGAAAAGTAGTCTGTGTTTGGCCCTTACAAGATGTTCCTAATTGTAATTGCTTAGATTTTTGACCAAGGAATCTTTCTGCCTGTCTTTTCCTGTCTGCCAGTCACTCCAGTCTGGTAGAGACTTGCCCTCCCTGTGGGTTCTGTCCAGGATGGAGTTCCTTATTAACAGTTTTATTTCATATTATTCTCATGAAGGAAGCAGCCCCAGTCCTGCTGCTTTATCAGCTACAGAGGACCTGATCATCTTTGCCATCCAGAATGGCTACCTCTCACCCAAATACATTCAGCCATTGCCCTTAAAAGAAGAGACCTGCTTGGTTCCTCAACACTCAACGACAACCAAAAAAGGTCAGACCATCAACCTATCATACTCAGCATTGCAACACCCTTACTATATTTGGGGATGTTCTCTTATTAGGCTGTCAAGGGTTTCTTGGGCCTAGAATGTATCACATGTGCAATAACAATAAAAATGGGAAATTTAGACAAGTATTCCACTACTGGACAACTTCCCTATTAATTGGAGAAGTTAAGGAGACATGTTTTCCCTGCCCTCTCCAACTAATCAAAATGTTATTGCCATGAACCCATTCTTGCCACAAATAAATGTATACTCATATTTTTACTGAGTCTACAAGAAACACTAAATCTTCAGAATTGCCATACATTATTTAAAAAAGAACAGTTAAGACGGAACTCCTACCATCAAGGGACAGGCACTTCAGTGAGGAAAGGCAAAACATGAGCAAGATAGGAATAAAGTGTGTTAGACGGCATGGATGTGAGAGAGGAAAGTAAGATATGGAAAATAAGTAGATTTATATATTGTAGGAACACACACACACACACACACACACACACACACACACACACACACACA